CTTGAACTCACAGAGATCCACCTGTCTCTGCCTCCCGAGTGCTGGGATTAAAGGTGGTCGCCACCACCGCCCGGCCCCTTTCCTTTCTTTTAAAATGCTCCTTTATTTTTGAGAATTTCGTGCATGTCTACAATGAAATATGATCATATAACCCTACCTTCCCCTTTTGCAACTCCCCCATAGCCCCAAACTCTCCAGCACGCCTCTTCCCCCCTATATTTATGTCCTCTCTCTTTTTCTTTTGATAACCCACTATACTCGGTTATTGCTGCTCATAGGTGCAAGGCCATAGGGCCATCCACTGGGACTGGAGGCGAACAGTAGCCACAGCCTTGGAAAACAATGACTTTCCCTTCCCCTAGCAACTGCCCACTGCCAACAGCGCCTTAGTACGAGATGAGGCCTGGAGATGATCTCTCCCACCCATGCTGGGATTCTAGCAGTCTTGACCTTGCACGGGTAACCACAGCTGCTATGAATTCACTAGTGCAATGGCTGTGTCATGTCCAGAAAGATTTCACACACTCCTTCCCAGCCTCTGGCTCTTACTTTCTTTCTGGGTTCTCTTCCTCGATGACCCCTGAACCTTGATGATGAGGAAATTACTACAGAGATCTTGTTTAGGGCTGAGCAGTTAGTCTCTTAGTCTCATCACTCTGAGAGTGGAGGGAGCTGTGCGTCTCTCCACTGACTGCTCCCCTCTGCCAAAGGAGGCTTCTTTGCCCAAGGTTGAGAGCATCCCAGGTCTATGGGCACAAAAAGAAGGTTTAGTAGAGTAGGCAATTTTACAGCATGAGCATTTAGCAAAATAACAATAGCAGGTTATACCTTAGAGCTTATCATTTTTTCCCCAACAGGATTATAGTACCACATATGAAACTCCCCTGTGGAGCAGGCCTCAAGTCCAGGCACAGAACAATCAGTCATCCCATTACAGTCTTTCCACTGTTGTCCCAGGGGGCACATTTTTCTGGACAGGCCAGTACTGAAGCATGCAGGGTCCGGTGCTGGGGATAAAATCAATGTCTTTCTCCCCCAGCAGCCTGCAGAGCATCTGGCATCATGAAAGCCAGTGCATGGCTTTTACACAAAGTGGACACAGAGCTGGGAAAATGCTTCAGTTGGCAAAGTGCATGCCATGCAAGCTTGAGAACCGGAGTTCTGATCCCCAACATCCACATAAGAAGACAGATGTGGTGGCCTGTGCTTGTAACCCTAGCACAGGGAAGACAGAGATAGGAGATCCCTGGGGCTTGTTGACTACCTGGTGACCAGTGAGCTCCAGGTTCAGTGAGAGACCTTGTCTAAAAAAAATAAGGGGAGTTCACTTTCCCACACCACACAGATTCCCTGAATCTTGACCCACCAGGTAGCCCTGCTCCTTCCCACCCCACAGGCCTCCCAACGTCATACCTCCCTCCCTTGAGAGTTCAATCCCACAACTCTGGTTGACTCAAGAGCATCTAGACTTGGAGAGCCGTCCCATAAGGTGCTGCGGGAGAGGGGCAGTGAGGGGTGTGCTGACCTTTTGATAGGGATTGTTAGCAGAGGGTGTAGCCAACTCTCAAAAGAAAACCAGGGATAGAACCTGCAGCCCTCCATCCACGACAGTCCCAGGAGGAAAGCATCTCAACACTCTCGTGAACATTGTACACACCTCCACCAAAATCAGAAGGATGACTTGAATAAAAAGACAGACAAACTCAACCCCAAACGGCTTTAGCTGTTAAAGTCCCAGAGAAGAAACAAAAGTAACATGAAGAGCTATGACAATGTACACCCCTCAAATTGCTAATTCCATAGTGAGAATGACCTGGAAGAACTCCCTGACAAAGGGTTCGAAATAATGATTATAACTGTGTTCAAACCATTTAAAGAAGATATGGAAATGCTCCAAGAGAAAAGCATCAAGGATCTGAGTGAGATATCAGTGCAAGTTGTGAAAATAGAGTTCAATCAAGAGGTAGAACTTGGGGCTGGAGAGATGGCTCAGAGATTAAGAGCACTGGTTGCTCTTCCTGAAGTCTTGAGTTCAATTCCCAGCAACCACATGGTGGCTCACAAACATCTGTAATGAGATCTGGTGCCCTCTTCTGGCCTTCAGACAGAACATTGTATACATAATAAATAATTCTAAAAAAAAAAAAAAAAAAAAAGAGGTAGAACTCCTGAAGAAAATCCAAGTTAAAATGATTCTGGAAATTAAAAAGTCAATAAGCCAAATGAAAACTTCATTTGAAAGACTCACCAATAGAATGATCATGTGGAAAGCCTGTCAACTCTGGATGACAAAGAAGAGGAATTGGTTTACTAATTAAAGTTAATGATAAATAAAAGTAATGAACAGAGTGTGGGTATGATTTGGGACACTGCAGAAAGACCCAACCTTCAAACTGTAAGTCTAGAAGAAGGAGAAGAATACCACACCAAAGGCATAAAATTTCTTCAGTAAAAAGTCACACAAGAAAAAAATTCCAAACCCAGAGAAGGAGATGCCCATGTAGACACAAGAGGCCTACAGGACATCAAATAGACAGAACAAGAAAATAAAGCTCCATAACACATTATAGTTTAAACATTACAGATACAAAATAAAGAATGGGTATTAGAAGCTGCAAGAGAGAAAGGTCCAGTTATTTACAAAGGCAAATTCATCTACCTCATTAGCAGTAATACTTGATTATTCAACAGAAACTTAAGAAAATATCTATCTATCTATCTATCTATCTATCTATCTATCTATCTATCTATCTATCTATCTATCATTTTATGTGTATGGATCTTTTTCCTGCATGCATGTTTGTGTACCACATGCACAAGGTGTCCACAGAGGCCAGAAAAGGGCATTGAATCATGTGGAACTGGAGTTACAAATGGTTGTTAGCTGCTGTGTGGTACTAGGAATCAAATCCAAGGTCTTTGCCAGAGCAACAAGTGCTCTCAACTACTGAGTCATCTCTCTAGCCCCTCACTCAGTAGAAACAATTAAGGCCAGATGCTTGGAAAGACACATTCCAAATTCTGAAAGATCCCAACTCTAAACCCAGAGTATTATACCCAGAAAAACTATTACATTCAAGGAGAAATTAAAACTTTCCACAGCAAAAACAGATTAGAGGTGTTTGTGACACTGGCCAGCTCTGCAGAGGATTCTGGAAGTAATGCTTGAGACAGAAGAGGAAGATAAACACACATGAGGGGACAGGGACTCAGAGAACTCCACCTGCCTCTACCTCCTGTGTGCTGGGATTAAAGGTGTGTGCCATCATGCCTGGCAGGAGAGGATTTTCAGTGTTAAAGATTTAAGTGTGGGATGAGGGGCTGGGGGACTGGGGAGCAGAGAGGGTAAAGGTTAGCTTAGCCAAAGCTAGGGATCCGTGAAGAAGCCTTATGGGAATTCACTACATTGTAAGCTAGCTACCATTATTTGAACTAAGTATATGCCTGGGTGAACAATGTTGCTCTCAAGAAATGGGTTAGGTTGGGTGTGGTGGTACATGCTTTTAGTCCTAGCACTCAGGAGGCAGAGGCAGGAGGATCTTGATTTCAAGATGGATCTCGAACGCTACAATATCATTCTGCCCAGTTAGATGTGCCCACTGCCCACTGGTACAATAGCCGACAGGATGGTTATGAGTGTAACCAAGCGCTTTCTGACTGGGTTTGAGGCCTGTTTCATAGAAAGGAACTTCATGTCTGATACCTGGTCAAAAGCCAATGACCAGCGAGATCATAGGTCCTGCGGGGAATCTAGTCTTGTCATGTTAAACGCTCAAACCACCTTCTACACATGTATGTGTACACTCACAGGTTTGTGTGGCTCTCAGCTGTGGTCAGGAAAGCCCCCTTTGTAGTGGGTGGTGGTTAATGCAGATTCATAACTGGCCAAACTGCCACTTACAAACAACATCTATATAAGCCTCCCCCTATCCAAGGCCCAGGGAACATGGAGGAGGGGCTGAAAAGCGTGTAAGAGGTGCCAGATGGGAGGCGTGCTATGTGGTGCGGGCTTCTGAACAGGACATGGCCACTGCACACAGCAATCACAACATCTCTCACTCCTTTCTCCGTCGTCCACCAGAACTAGACAGTGAGACCTTGTTGCTGAAGATCCGCTTATTTTGGTTGCAGAGCTTAGAACAATCCATCTGACTGGCCAGGAACTGTTTCCTGCTGACTGGCTTTCAGAGTACTGGAGCTGATATGCCACCTGTTGTGGGGGGGCATCAGTGGTGTCACCCAGAGCTGGACTGAAACAAGATCAAGTCAGTCAAAATCCCCTTGGTGGGGGAGCTATGAGCAGTTGGCTGCTCAGGGAGGGGATGCCACTCTCCTTTGGGGACATGGCCTCTGGTAGGTTGCCCATGACCAACTGGATGCCACCATGCTCATGTGCATGTGGGCATCACTAATTGAACTTTGATTAATAATAATAATGATAATACTAAAAGACTCACATGCATGTGGACATCACTAATTGGAGTTTTATTATTAATAATAATGATGATGATAATAAAAGACTCACATGTGGACACCACTAATTGGAGTTTGAGTAATAATAATAATAATGATAATAATAATAAAAGAGAGACATGGGGAGCACTACAAGAAGTTGGAGGGAAGTAGTGGCAGGCAGATGTGATAAAAATACATTGTACGTAGATATGTATGAAAAATTTAAAGAATAAGTAGGGACTGGACAGATGGCCCAATGGTTAAGAGCACTAGCTGCTCTTCCGGAGGACCCTGGTTCAATTCCCAGCACCCACATGGCAGCTCACAACTGCCTGTAACTCCAGTTCTGGGAGATTCGACACCTTCACACGGACATACACATGCAGGCAAAACACCAGTGCACTAAATAAAAAATTAAAAAAGAATAAATAAAAGCATTTTAAAAATAAAGTGAAGGGTGATTGAAGAAGACACACAGCGTTGACCTCTGACCTACACATACAAACACATACACGAACATGTACACACATAAAACACACACACACATGCTTACTTCAACAGCACGTATACTAAAAATGGAACAATACAGAGAAGATTAACATGGCCTCTGAGCAAAGATGACATGCAAATTCTTAAAGAGTGCCATAAAAACCCACACACTATAAATAAGTGAATAAATAAATATGTAGAGGTGGGACACTTGCCACAGACAGGGAACAGTGATCTCTTTGATTTCCTGCTGATTCTTCATCCTTTCTCATCTTCTGCCCCAGCCCGCTCCGCACCCCTGCTCACAGCACCTTCATACGGCTGCCTCTGGGCTCTGAGCCTTCCTGGGGCTGCCATGTGAATCTGGTGGCCTTGCATTCCGCCCCATGCCCGCCCACTGCGGCCTTAGCTTTGGGCCTGAATTTACCACCTCCACGAGCTGTTCCCGATCTTGTGGCATCTCTTTCTCTTTTCCTCTGGACCTTGTCAGCTTAATTATTGGTCACAGGCACGTACCCGGGTTCACATGTTGGCTGTGATCTCCTTACCGTGTGACCTAATCGCCCCATGCCTCCGCCTCCTCGTCTGAGAGCTGGGGCTTTACTGCGAGCGCTGGGATGCGGCGGCAGCCTCATGGGAGGGGCCAGAGAAGCATCTGGCTTTGTTACCAGATTCTGCCTTGGTGGGATTTGGGGGAGAACACTGGTGAGTGCACGTGTTCAACCTTCAAGTTTGAGTGCAAGACTCAAAAATGTCTGCATTAGCCAGAGCCTGTTTGTGTCTAGACAGGGTCTCCCTGTGTAGCCCAGGCTGCCCTCAGACGCGGGATCCTTCCGCCTCAGCTTCCCATAGGCTTGTACGGCCCCTCCCGGCAGGACTGACTTTGATAAGACTTCAATCTTACTCAAGGGCGAAGGAATATTATGGGTAAAAGAATAAGTACTTTTTACCAGTCACTAAGCTGCCCTTGGAAGCATTCGTGCTGACCAGAACTTGGCAAGGAAACCAAAGCCTCTTGGTGCAATCAGTGCTGCGAAAATACAATCGATAGTCGTAACGGCGGTGGAAACCATGAGGTCACCCTTCGCTTTGGGCGAGCACTGTGTGAATTCAGTTCCATTGCAGAAAATTGATGTGTCAAGGATTTTATTTGCCGTTTACAATCACGATCGAGAGGGATGGCCTCGTGGTTCAGCAGCACTGAGGGTGCCCTCTTTGGACTGTTTGGACTCTGGCCGTGGGAGAAGAGGCCTTCTGGGAATCAGCCGGTGTTACCGCATTTCAGGAGCAGGAACAAGGGGAGAGGCAGAATTTCCTCTGGTCACATCTGGCGGTGGTGGAGGAGGGTATCGGCTATGTGTTCCCTTCCCAGTACTAGGAATGGGCTTCAGGTGCTTGCACAGGTGAGTCCTAGGAGGAGAGGCCAGGCCCCTGAGAGGAGACAGAAGTCGGGTAAAACTGCCGCCGTGAGATCACTGGGGAGAGCAAGGAGTCGGGCAAACGGGCTTGGGTCTGTCTGGGTGGGGCTGGCAGAGATGCAGAGAGGCCACCAGAGGGCGCCCAGGCACTGTCATTCCGCCGCTGAAGGCTGAGCAGCCGCTGCAGGCCCTGAGGCTGACCTGCCTGCCAGTGTTGACAGGACCCTGACAAGACTCTGATGACCCCAAAATTGAGCACGCCTCGGCCTGCCGGGGCCTGGGCCAATCTCTTGATCAAATCCTGATCTTCATCTAAGCTGGTCCCTGCCGGCATGCAATGAAGACATTTTAGGCAGAAGAGACCTCACTGGGAATAGCCTAAGGACGTTGTCCGGGCAGAGGCCCAGGAGCTGCTGCAGCAGATGCAAGAAGCCAAGTGAGCAGCCTCCTGTTGGAGGAAGGGCATGATGGCAGCCACAAGAGGACGCGGGACTCGTAACTGCAATCCAGAGGACCCGACGTGATCAGCGGAAGAGAGGTGGCTATGTGGAGACTTAGGCTAAGGAAGGACGTTAGGATTGACAAGTTCCACAAATGAGTCGGATGGCTCCCAGAGCAATCACCACCAAATGACAAAGCATAATGTTTGAAACCAGAAGAAACCGGGCGGTGGTGGCGCACACCTTTAATCCCAGCACCCAGGAGGCAGAAACAGGTGGATCTCTGTGAGTTCAAGGCCAGCCTGGTCTTCAGAGCAAGATCCAGGACAGCCTGGATCTATCTATAAAGCCAAATATCTATCTATCTATCTATCTATCTATCTATCTATCTATCTATCTATCTATCTGGAGGCAGGATGAACACAGGAAGGAAATAGAAAATGCCTCGAACAAGAAAATCCCACAATGAGACTAAGACACAAGACCCTGATAATACCAGCGAAAGCGACTTAAACTGACCACTCAGAAGAGGTTCCTGTGCTGAAGTAAGAACCATCCTACAGGCTGACTTTACAGCTAAAACCTACAGCTAAAAACACAGGGCCTCAGGGGGTAAAGTGCTTGCCTAACGAGTGTGGGGCCCCAAGTTCGAATCCTCAGAGCCTGCACAGAGCCGGGTGTGGTAACTTACTGTGTCCGTAACCCCAACGCTCCCAAGGTAATGACAGGATCCCCGGAAACGTGCACCCCAACTATCCTGGTGTGCGCCGCTGTGAAGGGGGAGGGGAGGGCTGACACCTGAGGGTGCCCTTTGACCTCCACATGGGCCCGTGTCATGTGTGTGTCCGCCTCTGAGGCTTTTGGAGGCACAGAAGGACCTTGACCCACTTTCCCTGCTCTGCAGATTCCTCCTGGTCTGGTAGCGCACACAGTGATGTAACTGGACACTAGGGGGCATCTAAGCTCCATGCTCCAGGGACCCGGCAGGTGCACAAGCTGCCCAGTGTGACCCGAAGGCCCTGACAAGCCCTACAGCTGTGCCTGGCCACAGTGGTACCCTGCCTGGCAAGCCGTCTTTCACCGGGTCTTAGAAACCCAACAAGTCCTGGAGACACATTGCAGGTAGGAGGGGTGTCCCCTCATTCTGTGACACCCCGCTAACACCCTCTCACCTCAGTCACAAGCCATTTTTGCTCTTGGTGTGGCCATGTGTCCGTCCATGTGGGGATAGGGGTGCGTGAACCTCAGGGTGTCCTCCACTACCTTTGGTATAAACCTGCAGCTCTGACATGACCACCAAGTACAGGGCACACACCCCTTGCCTTCTTGGATAGATGGGACGCACACCACCATACGCACAGCCAGGGGATGGCCATGAGGGGAGCCTGAGTTTTGGACTGGCCTCCCCAAACTGCAGTATAAGTCTGCAAGCCCAACCTGATCACCAAGAGGACATGTGGCCTCTCCCACCTCAAGTAGACCGGGCAGTCTCTCTTCATCTGCTGGGACAAGTGCTTTCTGTGAGCAGCAGGTGTAGTGCCCCAGCGGCCACACGGGGGCAGCAGAGCTCTGCTCCCGCGGACACCAAACAGGTGCTTGGTTGGTCGGGGAGGTCACGGCCTGACCATGGTGGGGGCCGTGGAGCCCAACACATGCTCTTCTCCTACCCTAAAATAGGATCAGTTCTCACCCAATGCAGACTTGACTCTAAACATCCCAGAATTGCCACACCTTGGCTCTAGATTCAGAGAATCCTGGCCAACGGTGAGACTGTAAAATCACCATATAAACTCGGGAACCCTTCAGTTTCTACCAGGGTTCGTCTCTATCCAAGCCTCAGTCATTTATGGTAAAGTGAGCAGTTGTGTGGGGGCTTCCGTGGGGAGGATTAGAGACACAGGTGTGTAAGTGCATGCAAGCGTGCGTGCGCGTACACAGACAGACACACACAGACACACCACACACAGACAGACATACACAGACAGACAGACAGACACACACAGACACACACACCACACACAGACAGACAGACAGACAGACAGACACACAGACACACAGACACACCACACACACACACAGACACAGACACACACAGACACACAGACACACACACAGACACACACACAGACACACACAGACAGACAGACACAGACACACACACAGACACACACAGACAGACAGACACAGACACACACAGACAGACACACAGACACAGACACACAGACACACACACACAGACACACACACAGACACACACACACACAGACACACACACACACACACACACTTTCTCTGAGCCTGTGTCTGTCTGTCTGTCTGTCTGTCGCTAGTCCCTGAGTGTCCACCTGGCTGGGTGGAGCCAATTCTTTGAGCTTGGCCTGGCAGAGCATGCAGCGGTGCAGTGGTGCCTCTAGCCACCAGGGGGCGCACGAGCTCTGCACCGCGCCCATTGCGGAGACCCCGCAGGTGTATGGGTGTCAGCTGACCTGCCAGAGCGTGAGACCTGACTCAGCGGATCCAGACTGACCGTGCTCCCTCAGTGCTGGATACTGGGTTTCCCATCAGAGCCCAGAAACTCAACGGCCCACAGGAAAGTGCAGGTGGGCTTGGCTGGAGACCCTGGTCCTCAGTGTCCCTTCGTTTCAGTCAGGCACCCTCTTTGTGCCTGGTGCGGCCATGTGCCCGCACGGAGTGTGGAGTCCGGCCTGCTAAGGAGCCTGGCTTGGGCCCTGGAACCTGCCGACGGTAGCCGTGCACACGATCACGGACAGAGCCTGCCCGGGCATTACCGCCGGGAGAGGGACGTGAGCCTCGGGGTGTGTAAGCTTGCATCCCGACCTCGACCACCAAGTGCAGGGCATGCGCATTTCCTCTACCCTGCGATGGATGGGGCACGTGTGCTTTCCACCATTACAGGGCACGCGCGCTCTCCCACACTGGGGAAAGAACGACTGACCCCACCTGCCTGAGAAGACGGCCCTCCCCACCTGCTTTAACAAGAGCCTCGTGAGGGCGGCGAGCACAATTCTGCCCCTGGCCACACGGTGTCAGCAGAGCCTCGCTCACGCGGGCCCAGTCTCCGGCAGGTCAGAAGCCGCAGGGCTGTGGGGAAGCCACGTGACCACACTAGACACCAGCTCAGCCCGGGCTCGGAGCCCAGGGTCCTTCCTTGGCCCAGACTCTAAACGTCCCAGATCTTCCACACTTTGGCTCCAGACTCAGTGGTGACCCTCTCCCAGACTGACATCCGTGACCCACCCACTTGTGGACAGTTGTGCAGGTCCTCAGTGGGGGAGGATTAAAGA